GAATTATTCACAAAGCTATATAGCTCAACTTTATAAAAATACTACTGATGAAGTGAAATATTGTCAAGTTAAGGCTCTGAAGTAAAAGGGCTTGATTTCAGGCTCACACTCTGACTTTCTAGCTGTGTGATCCGGTGCAGGTCATCTCATCATTTTTCTTATTTTTGAGGAGGTACAACACCAGCAGCCACTTCATAGGTTGCTTGTGACCATTTTATTAGGTCACAGATGTTCAGAGAAAGTCCCTGCCATATAGCTCTCGATACAGATCAGCTGGAAGTACTTTTTTTTTAAGATTCTTTCCTTGTGCTATAACACCACAGTCTTATAAATTTCCTTTTTTCTGTGCCTTCCTTCTTTGTCTCCTTTACTGTCTTTCCCCAAATATTTTCAAGTAATAGATGTTATAATAGCCTTAGGTCCTCTTCACTTTTCATTCTAGTCTTACCTAGAGGTATTTTATCTCATGATTTTAACACCCGTAAGTAAAACTCCCAAATGTATCTTTCTTTTTAAATTTGCTAGAGGGCATGTGTGCTCACCAGAAGAGACAGAGAGAGGGTACGTGAGAAAGCACTCCCCTAAACCCAACAGGGGTTGGTCATGCTGCAATCTCATATACTCTATTTCTTCTTTCAAGATTTTGAGTAAACATGCACACATGCCCAGTGTTTTAAGCTACTGGGTCTGGGAGTCGCACCTTGTGAGTTGGCCATGCTGAGGGATCCAGCAGCCTTAACTAAGATCATGTGCAGGGCCCCAAATGTATATTTCTAAGTCAGATCTGAATATGCACCTACAAGCACAACATCTCCACCTAATATGTCTCAGAGGAACTAAAATTCATCCAATATAACAAAAGCTCAATTCACCATCAATACCATGCCGACACAAATGTGGCCCAACAACCACCCAATTATGCAATCTGAAAACCTGAAGTCATTCCTGAAACCTCCTGTTCTTGGGTTTCCAGCATCTAGCCCATTTTTTTCTGTTTCCATTTTAATGCTGAGATAGCTCCCATACATCTCTTTGTCTTCACAGTCACTGCCATCTGCCTCATCTAAAGCCAATATCCAACAGCTCCAAACTGGTTTGCCAACAGGAAGTCTTGTTTCCTACGATCCATGCATGATATGACAGAGGGAGAAAGTACTTCTGAGGCATCCATCCATCTGTTCACAGATTTGTGTTAAAGTTATTTATAGAGCCGTTCATCATACTGGCACTTGCCAGACAGACAGAAACAGAGAGACAGAAAGCGAGAAATCACCCCCCAGGGGGGATGGCCACGCCACAATTCCTTCTCCTCCATTCTCCTCTTGGGATCTTGAGCACGCATGCACATGCGCCCGGTGTGAGTTTTAAGCCACCGGGTCTGGGATGAGAACTGCGGTCAACTACATGGGAGTCTAGCAACATAGCCATTAGGCTAAGTGGTGGTCCCTGACAGAGTCATTTTTAAAAATACAAATGTGGGACAAGCTTGTTGACCTACTGGTTAAAAGAGTCGGATTTCTTTCCTTTTTTTTTTTTAAAGAATTATTTATCTTTATTTTAATTTGACCAGAGAGAGCCAGAGTGAGAGAGTGAGAATGAGAGTGAGAGAGAGAGAGAGAGAGAGAGATCAAGCCGCCAGGTCCAGGACTCGGACCGCGGTTGGCCATGTGGGAGTCCAGCACCCTTATCCACCATGCCACCTGCCAGTTTCTAAAGGAGTAGTATTTCAAATGGTTGACTACGCAGTTTGAAGAATCCTTTGGAATGGAAATTGGGGGGAAAATAGAGAGGTAAGATATTTGTGGAACACAGACATTGTTATCTGTTAGTGAGGATGTGGATAGTATTCTCAACAGGACTGAGATGTTATCATGCTGGGTAAAATCTCTTTATAATCTAAATCATGTGTAGTGATTTAAGGTATAAATAATAATAATAAATAAAAATAAAGAATCCTTTCAGTGGGTGTGCATGCTTGCTCAAAATCCAAATGGGATGAAGAAACAAAGGAGAAGAGATTTCTCCCTCTCCCCTCTCTGGCAAGTGTGCATGCTCTTTGGTGCCCTAGGACAAGGAGAAAAATATAGGCTGAAAATTCCTTACCTAACATACTTGGGACCAAAGATGTTTCAGATTTCATTTTTTGTTTTTTAAATTTTGGAATATTTGCAAACACATGAGATATTCTGGGGATGAGATCCAAGTCTAAACACAAAATTCATTTATGTTCTGTACATAACTTATACACATTACCCCCTAAAGGTAATTTTATACAGTATCTTTAATAAGCTTGTACAGGAAACTCTTCATGGGCATGTCTGAGTAAAGGAATCTGGATGTGTTTGACAAAGATATCTTGCAGCCGGAGAGGACTGGGAGGGTCTTTGTTTTCTTTAGGGATGCTGAGTAAACAGGGGGTTGTGAGCCTGCATTTTCACTTTGACCTGTCATAAGGAAGTTAGGTGTGGAACTTTCTACTTGTGGCATAATACCAGTATCAGAAAAAGTTTCGTAGTTTGAAACCTTTAGGATTTCAGATTAAGGATGCTCAGTGAGCAATGTGACTATTTATAAATTTGGGCTTGTGGTCTCTGCCTCCATGGCCCTCTGTACACCAAATTGGACTTTCTTGCTTGAAAATACCAAGCTCTTCCTCCACTCCCCTACAAGGCCTTTGTTTCTTCCGTTTCCTCTTTCAGAATATTTAGAAGGTATTTTCCTTTCCCACGCATTACAAGCCCATGTTTAACTGTTTCTTTCTCATCATTCTGGTCTCTACTTAACCAATACTATTTACAGGAGGTGTTGGCTGATTCCTTGGACAAGGTCAAGTCCATTAATTATACCCTTGAAAAGCATCCTGCACTTTTACATCACAATCCTCATTGCACTTCTAATTACTTATGTCTGTTTTTCACAAACGATAAGATGGGACAGAAGTGCAGGGATCATGTCTGTTTTGTTTACAGCTGCCACCCTTAATCTTATCAAACAACATGCTTGCCACATGTGGGCAAACAATTAGATGGCTAAATATTTGCTAAATATTTTAATTAGTGCAAAAGTGGTTCTTGGTTTGGTCTTTGTAACTGCTTATAACTGGCAGAGAAATGCACTTAAAAATTTAATTCAAGGCACACTTTGCTAATCTGTTTCAGGAAATAAGTATAAAGATGACTCAATCCAATGAGAGGAAGAATAAAATCAGTTCTGGAAGGGGAATAGATATATGAAAAATGCCTAAATAAGGCAGGCTTCTTCCTGGTGCTGAAATTTGAAATAAACCATGGAGAGGTGGCAAGACCTCAAAAAAAACAGAACGTAAGAAATATTCCGGGGAAAGGGAAAAGTTTGGGCAAAGATTTGAAATAGAGTCAGGTACATGCACAGACTGGTGAACAATGTGCCCGGTGATTGGGCATACTAAAAATCTAGCAAATGCCCAAGTGGAAATGGCTACTGGTATATGCTGCACAAATCAGTGTGCACAAATTGTTTGAGCATACTCACACATTTACATATCTAAAATGTGGGGGGAAAACAGTTCACAAAAAGGTACGTTATGATCCTATGATTTTTTTTTTTTTGAGAGGTTTTTGCTATAGGGCATGTGTGCTCACCAGAAAGAGAGAGACAGACAGAAAGCAAGAAATCACTCCCCAGGGGGGATGGCCACGTCACAATCCCTTCTCCTCCATTCTCATCTCAGGATCTTGGGCACACATGCACATGCGCCCAGTATGAGTTTAAGCCACTGGGTCCGGGACTCAAACCGTAGTCAACTACATGGGAGCCCAGCGACATAGCCATTATGCTAACTGCTGGCCCCAATGATCCTATAATTTCATCATCAGGATTAAACTGTCAAGGAGAACCATTGTAGGTTTCCTCACTAGACACATGACATAATTAACTATAGAAATATCTTTTAATAAGCAAGAGTGGGGTGTGGAGACTAAGAAATAGGCTATTTCAATATTTTAGACAGAGGGAAGAGGGAAAGGTGTTGAAATAATTCTGCAGTAGATGGACAGCACTGCTGAAATGAGAAAGGGATATCATTGACTAAATAGAAAAACAAAATAGGAAGGAGAGGAGAAGGATAGGAGATGGCAAGTTTTGTAGAAATCCTCAATTTTATGTGCTTACATAACGCTGAACAAGTGGTTAAATATGGATCTGAGAAAGAGGAAACAGATACATTTTGAAATACTAAGCTCAGAGAAATTTAACTTGGTCCATAATCAATTAATGCAATGGCTTTGGGAAAAACATTTCTCCATTTTTCTATCAACACGATTTTTTTTTAATTACTAATGAAAAAAACTACCAAATATAATAAAATTATTTAACCTTTTCTTGGATGTTCAATAAACTCTATGTTCAATTTTTCTGTTATTAGAGGGTTAAGAACAAAGTTTCTCATAATTTTACCATCTCTTCAAAATAGGTAATTTCTTATAACTGCTAGGATGGGAAGAACTCACTTATAATATGCTAACTTTTTCTCTACTCAGTAGAATAATAATATCTTCTATGTTCAAAAGAATTCCAGTCTTTGTAACAGGCTCTATGCGAAAGTTTAAAATGACATATAGAACTTTTGAAAAGGCCATTCTAATTTTCAAAATGTTAACATCTAAAATTATGTCATCTTTAATTTTCAGGAGAATATCTGAAGAAGAATAAAACATAGCACTTACTTTTGCTGCACCTATCTGCTCTTTCCGAAATTTCTCAAGTGGTGCAATTAATACATCATTAGCGTTTTGAATCTGAAATTAAAAATGCATATATATATTAAATTCTACATAACTTCATGCCAGCAATAGTGAAAAAAAAATAGCTCCTTTATTTAAACTCATCAAATATAAACCCTTTTTGTTTTCTTGTTTGCAACCATAAAAATATCTTACATGGTATGTAGTGTTTTCTTCTCACTTATGAGGAAGCTGTCATTGCATAATAATTCACTTGATCCTAACAATAATGCAAATAATGTAAAAATAAGTACATATTTCGGTGAAATCTTACTTTGAATATTTAATTTCTTCCTCTAAGACATAACTAAGAAAGAGCACATTGGGCATTAAATTTACAAATACCTTTAATTACACTGGTTTAATACATGCAGCTCAAACATCATTTTAAAATTGAACCATATAAAAGCCCTTCCATTTTGCCATCAGGATGTTAGAATTCTAAGCTGCGAAATAAAATAAGGCTCATGTTCCCTCTCTTTAATTAGATTCCTCGCACTTGGGATTTGCCTGAATGTTTTTGTAATATTACAACCTGACTAAAATGGTATCTAATTTTATTTCCATGGAAAACATTTTAGCCTCAAACTTCAAATTGAGATTTAGTTAAACTTTAAAATAGATAAATTTTTTTAATATTGATCTGCAAGAATATTATAAGGGGGTGTAAGGTGTAAAGGCCAGGGTCCAATACAAAAAGAAATTTCCTATATGCTGGAAGGAAACCTTTATAAAAATGTAACCACCTTTGGGACCAGCAGTTAGCATAATGGTTATGTCGCTGAACTCCCATGTAGCCAACCGCGGTTCATGTTCCGGACCCGGTGCCTTAAACTCACGCCGCGTGCGTGTACATGCGTGCCCAAGATCCCGAGAGAAGAATGGAGAAGGGATTGCGGTGTGGCCATCCCCTGTGGGGGGTGATTTCTCGCTTTCTATCTCTCTGTGTTTCTGGCGAGCACACACACCCTACAGCAAAAAGCCTCTCAAAAAAAAAAAAAATAGTAACCACCTTTAAAAAGCATTAAAATAAAAAGGAGGACCAGTTAACAAATCATATAACATGCTCCATCACTGTGATAATTGAGCATTACCTACTAGATAATTAGAAAATGCTTAGAGGAAGAGAAACACCAATTTATTTTTATTTTTATTTATTTATTTATTTTGGAGAGGTTTTCGCTATAGGGCGTGTGCGCTCACCAGACAGACAGAGAGAGACATAGAGACAGAAAGTGAGAAATCACCCCCCAGGGGGGATGGTCATGCCACAATCCCTTCTCCTCCATTCTCCTCTTGGGATCTTGGGCACGCACGCACATGCACCTGGTGTGAGTTTAAGCCACCGGGTCTGGAACGTGAACCGCGGTCGACCACGTGAGAGTCCAGTGACATAGCCATTACACTAACTGCTGGTTCCCAAGAGAAACACCAATTTTTAAGGATACTGCACTATTTTAAAATAGGTTAAAGAGTATACAGAACTTCCTTGCACTATTTTTTTTTAAGGTTTTTCTATAGAGTGCATGCACCTTGCCAGAGACAGATAGACACAGTGAAAGGGAAAGTGAGAAATCATACTCCCCAGGAGGAATGGCCACACTGTAATCCCTTCTCTAGTCCCTTCCTAGGATTCTGGGCACCCATACACATGTGTGGTATGATCTCTCTAGCTGCCAGGGCTGGAGCTCAAACTGTGGTTGGCCATATAGGATTCCAGTGCCTTAACAACCATGCCACCTACTAATTCCCCACACACTATTCTTACAGCTTGTCTTTAAAGTTTTTGATATAATTTCAAACTTAAACTTCAATGAAAAGTTTTCACTTTCAGTGAAGGTGGTTAGTTTATAGTCATTTTATTTCTTAAATTCCATAATCTAAATGTACAAAGATAGATTCACAAATATGAGAACTACAATGCTGCTGCCACCTTCCATAATCCTATCATTCCCCAACTTGCAGAAACATGAGATGACAGCTCTAGAAGAGGACTTGAAATCCTGCACTGTGAAAACAGACAAAGTAGATCAATACTCAAAATCCTTGCAAAGACATGAGGGCCAATTGTAGACACCTCTGACATACATCACCTAGTTCCCATATGTGAGCTTAGACAGGCATGCCTTCCAATTACACTGTGCAGGTGTCCTGTTGGACAGATGGCTAGAAAGAGTTGTAACATAGCTCACTTTTAATTCTCTCTTAAACCTCTTTGCACTCATGAAACTCCAAATACATATACACATATGCATATAGATTCGGATTTTACAGAGGTAGGGAATACCTGATTCAGCCTTGAAGTTATTAAGTTTGAATAAGAGAAAAGATAGTATCAACACTTTGGTATAATTTGGAGAAATAGCAACAATAAAAGTTACCATTTAGTGAATGTTTATTTTATGCTGGAGACTACCATAACTACTTCAGAAACATGACCTAACGTATGTGATGTTAGTGAACTTAAATCTGCAGATATTTCTCAGGTGATGAAAACCTTACCAATAATGAGAATAAGTTAATAGAGACACTCCACTTAATGACCAAGTTCCATCCCTAAGACTAGGTCTTTAAGTAAATTGGGAGGTAAGCAATGAAATTAAAGATGGGTGTCTTGCGGTGTGCCATAGAGCATGTATTTTTCAGTAGCTATCATGCCACAGCACATTAAACATAATTCTATCCATATATAAAGAATACATTAGATACGTACCAGAAGTGAAAGAAACACCACAACATGTAATATAAATCCAGTATAATTGTTTTTACTTATTCTGAATGCTACTATGGGTTCACAATCAAGTGCAAATTTATAAACAAAATATGTAGTTTTTCATGATGCTGACCGACTGTGGGAATGAAACACATACTAATAAATGGGATTCTCAAGAATCTCAGACTGAAAAAGGGCATTCCTGGTGCTGGAGAACTGGCTGTAAGTCCCAGTGGTTGTTAATGAGGTAGGTCATTAAGGGAGGAGGGGCTGTATGTAATATTACCTGTATGTACATATATTTAAAATTGAGAATACCTGGGTTTAAACCAAGTTCCGTGGGTTAAGAGCTCCTACTAACCATTCCGAGCATCAGCTGTACCATCTAACAACTTGGTTCTAAGCATTTAAGAGATAATGGAAGTGTAAAACACTTAGCTTAGAGCGTTCTATATAGTATGTGCTCACATATGATAGCATTTTATATTCCCAAATAAACAGATGATAAATCTCACTTAGTATTTACCTGCTTAATACAGTTCTAGCCCTAATCCACTGTATTGATCTACGGGACAGATGCCTTGGGCTTTGCCACATCCACTAGATATTTATATATGTTTCCCAAGCATACATATATAAGGTATGTGATAAGCCTTCCAGAAATATAAAGTCTACTTGAGAAGGGGAAAATAAATGCATTCATTCATTAAGTATTTCATGCTTGTAAAGCACTAAACAATACTGGGAAAACTGAGAGCTAAAACTGACTGCATGGACAATAGTTCTATGATAAAACTATGCAGAAGTCATTATAAATATATAATTTTGATAACAAGAAAAATCCATAAGAATGAAATGAGGCAAGGTAGTATTTGGATGGTTGATGTTAGAGGGAATATTGAAGAGAAAGACTTCTCTAAGAACAGGCAACACCATGAGTAAGGGTAAGAGAATAGAAGTCAGCATGGCATGTGTGAGGGGAGGGCGGCATTTCCTCACCACTCACTAAGGTCACCCATGGGGCCAGACAGTGGCACAGCAATAAATTCAATGCTCTGAGAGGCTGACCCATGTTAGAAGGTGGCAGGTTCTCATCCAGAAATCTGAATACATCAGATAACGTGCACCTGTGACTCGGGGCTGGCTAAGGTTACGGGTGGATCATGGTGCCAAGACCCTAATGGGAGTACCTTTCTTCTTACGCTTGCTCTCTCTCTTGCTCATGGAAGAAAAACTTAAAAACAAGACCAAACAGAACAAAACCTCGGCACAAAAAAAGAGCTCAGTCCTAACTGTGAGTACAACTGCAAGCTACAGGCCTTCGGGTCATGTTTCTAAACTGGGAACAGTGGGATGAAAGTGAGGGATGCCAGCATGTGGCACATAGCGGGTTCCACAGAAGTACGACACATTGTTATTATGAACTAACAAGGACGTCATCTAAGTGGAAAAGGGAATAGACATTGCTATTAGTAGGAAATCCAACTGAAATAAGGAAAGGCTAGGATATAACCAAAATCTAAACAAAGAAGCCTGAACATGGGATCCTTGATGGCTTCTAAACAGGAATATGAAAACTTCTATAAGCAGCCACAAACCCGTGAGAAAGTTTTGAGAATGAAGAGATGGTGGTAAGATAGCCTGGGAGAGGAACTCAGGAATAAAGTGACAAGGATGAGGTCTGGTGCCCATGGTGTTAACCAACAGGACACAGGGGTTCCAGAGATGGTTCTGTGGAAGACATCAATGGGGCACAGTGACAGATTAACTAGGAAAAGGAAGAGGAATGAAAGGTAAGAGGGAATTTCTGCCTCAGATATTGGAACTTTGCTACCATATTCAGAACTGGAGTAAATGAGGTAGAGAATGTATGTCTTCTAGAGAAGGAAGAGAGGGAATGGATTTCATTTTGGACGTATGATATTACATTTGATGACATAGGAAGGCTCAAAGAAATAAAGCGTCAAAAATTCTCATCTCACATGGCAGAACTAATCAATATGAACACGTTATTTTTAACTGGGAAGAACAGATTAAATCAGGGAGTGGATACGACCTTGGCACCCACATTCACATCAAATGATTTTAAACTCCGGTAAAACCTTTCTGTGGACATTTACATAAATATAACCTCAGAACCAGCCCAGTGGTAGGCACTGTGCATATAAGTCAGATCACATATGGCTGCCTATGGTTCAAATTCTGTTCCCGGCAGCTTGAAAAACATACTGGACACATGTATGTGCATGCCCCAAATCCAAATGGGGTGGAGAAATGGAGGAAAGGGGCTTGTAGCACAATC